CGTGCTTAGATTCAGCCTAGTGTCTGCATGCCCCCCCCCACCAGTAGGCCATGGGAAAGGTTTTGGGGGAGATGTTGGCCAAATACACCCTTACAGAGGGTTTGGGTCTTTTAGGCAAAGGCTGGGTGGGGATTGCTCCCTGGGACTGACCTTGGATGTTGTCCCCACAGCTGCGGAGTAAATTAGGGCCCCCCGAGATCCAGAAGTTTGCAATGCTGCTGCGGGAGTACCGGCTGGGGCTGCCCATCCAGGACTACTGCTCAGGCTTGCTGAAGCTCTATGGGGACCGGCGCAAGTTCCTCCTCCTTGGTGAGCCCCCTGCCACACCCCCCGAGATCAGGCAAGGACCCTGCTCCCAACTGGTCCACGACACTCCCGATTAGGCATCAGGCTAGAAGCATTTTCTCCTAGTCCTCAGCCTCCGATAAAGCCAAGATCATGAAATCCATGGCACATTTAAGGAGACAGGCGCAGGGCAGGGAGGGACTTGCTTGCAGTCACAGCCCATCAGTAGAGAGCACTGGTATATCCATTCACCTTCATAGCAAAGCTGGGGTGGTGGGGGGAATATTCTCCCCATTTACCCCATGTGGCAGCTGACGCTCAGAGAGGCTGAGGCACTTGTCCAAGATCACACAGCTGGTAAGGAGGGCTGATCATAATAACAGGAATAATATTAATAAGCTAACAGGTAATATCTTTGTCAAGCATCATCTCACTGAATGCTTCAGTTTGGGAAGGTAGAAACTCTCATTTGCCCCCATTTGGCAGATGAGCAAAATGAGGCCCAGAGAAGCAAAGTAAAGTGCTAAAGTCACATAGCTTGCGAGTGGAGATGGAAGCAAAACAAGCTGACTTGTATGAAGCACGCAGTGTGCTGGCCCCTCGTCACATCCCCCCCTGGGAGAAGAGGTGCAATCATCTCAGTTCTACAGGGAGGAAAGTAAGGCCCAGAGCAGCTGTTTAATGAGGGTCACACAACTAATAAATGGGAAAGTAGCAGTTGCAATAATGACAATAACGATAAGCTAATGTGTAGTGAGCATTTACTATGTGCTGAGCATTAGGTCATTGTTCTCTGGCTCAGAGTCAAGGAACTTGTGCAGGACCACACAGCCAGAGAGCGGGCGGGCTGGGGATTTGAACTCGGTTCTCCGGAGAAGGTGATTCCACGATGGGAGGCGAAGGGCTGAACCCTGAGGCGTCCCTCTGCCCCTGGCCCCGCAGGGATGCGGCCCTTCATCCCGGACCAAGACATTGGCTACTTCGAGGGCTTCCTGGAGGGCGTGGGCATCCGCGAGGGGGGCATCCTCACCGACAGCTTCGGCCGCATCAAGCGCAGCATGAGCTCCACGTCGGCGTCGGCCGTGCGCAGCTACGACGGGGCGGCCCAGCGGCCTGAAGCGCAGGCCTTCCACCGGCTGCTGGCCGACATCACGCATGACATCGAGGCGCTGGCACCGGACGATGAGAGCACCGATGAGGAGGCCAGGGACTCCCCGGGTGGGGGCGACACGGTTGAGGACAACTACCTGTAGCCGCCACCCATGCGGAAGGCGGGGAAGCATCCTCAATCCCACCTGTGTCTCACTCGCTCCTGCCTGTGGGACCCCAGCCCCAGGGCCCCCCTCCCGGGGTCGGGGTGTCCGACCTCGCCCTTGGCGCTCCAGTCCCTGCAATACCGAGAATGTCCTGCAGGGGGCGGGACCCCCAAAATCGCAGGCAGTTGCCGGAGGCTCAGCCAGCCCCCCTCTGCCAGAGCTGGGTGGGCAACATTCTACTGTGTCACTAGCCCCAGGTGCCAGGGACAGCCCCTCTCTCCCACCACTCCTGCAGCTTTCTGGAGGCCAAAGGACAGATGAGGAGTGGGCTCCACCTGCTGACAGACTGAGAAAAGACTTCCCAGAGCCCAGAGACCTCTTGTTCCTCCTATTTTACAGTTTGAGAAACAGGTTCAAAAAAAGGTGAAGGAACTTGAGGAAACCTCCTATTTCTCCTGAGATATTACCTCAAAGTACACATACAATAGCGTAGAGGGCCTTTTTAAGACTCTAAATGGCAGGGTCGCCCCTCCTCTGATGGCAGGAATTGGATCACCAGTGTGACATATCTCCACTGACAGTTGGGTCAGAGGTAGGTGATGGGGGTCCCAGTCTTGGCCCTAAGACTCTGAACAAGTTGCTTGTTCGGATCTTGGATTGGGAGCCAGACAGACCTAGGTCTCCTGTCTGGTTAGTGTTCTCACCTCTTGGTGACTTCCATTCCCTAATCTGTCCCATAAGGTTGGCCCCATCCACCTCACAGGGATGGTTGTGGGGATTAACAAAAGCACAAGGCCTTAGTGCTGGGTCTAGCCCATAGTAGGCACTCAATAAATGTTCCCTTCCACTTCTAACACTTTCGGACTTGGTGTACCTGTCTTGGCTGGGCGCAGTACGATGGAAACTGAGGTGGGGGTCAGATGTAAGCAGATCTTTGGGAAAGTTTGTGAAGAGGAACTAGGACTTGCCCTTCATGGCCCTATTACACCCTGGCTCTGTGCTCAAGCCCCAAATGAAAAGTACCTGAGACTCCACAGGCTATCATCACAGGGGGCCGGGTGGTTAAAGAAACCTGACAGCCGGGTTGAAGAGGTTAGAGAAGTCGGCATGAGGACAGCTTCAACACAGCCTGAGTAAAGGCTTGGAAGCTAGAAGGAGTGACCCCTGAGAGGGGGCCAGAGACTCACGCAGAAGTGCTGAAACTTATCTGTAAAGCTTTAGAGCCTTCCATGGCCAGACACATGGTCCTTACCGTGAGGTAGGTACAATTATCACCAATTAAAAAAATTTTTTTAAATATTTATTTATTTTTGAGAGACAGAGAGAGACAGAACATAAGCAGGGGAGGGGCAGAGAGAGAGAGAGAGAGAGAGAGAGAATCAGAAGCAGGCTCCAGGCTTTGAGCTGTCAGCCTAATATCGGGCTCAACTCATGACCGAGATCATGAAGTCACAAAGTTGCTGCTTAACAGACTGGGGTTTCACCCAGGGTGCCCCTAATTATCACCAATTTTTTTTTTTTTTTCAACGTTTATTTATTTTTGGGACAGAGAGAGACAGAGCATGAACGGGGGAGGGGCAGAGAGAGAGGAGACAGAATCGGGACAGGTCTCCAGCCATCAACAGAGCCCTATCGTGTGCTGGGCTCGAACTCACGGACTCATAGATCAGACCGGGCTGAAGTCACGGACGCCTAACCTACCACCCAGGCGCCCCATAATTATCACCAATTTTAAAGTAATATTATTATTAGGGCTTCAGGTCCAGGGTTCCAGGATTTATACTCAGTTTGTAGCAAATGATGTTTTCTTTTGCTTTATTCCCCCCTCCATCCACCCATTCCCCACCTTCCTTCCCCTCCCCATCATGGGCACCCACCCTATGTGTTGATCTATGTCCTGGACGTAAAATACACAATGCATCGTGTGTGTATTTACACCACACGAATGGTATTGTGTAAAGATCTCAACCTGACGCTTCCTTTTTTCACTCCATCATATGATTATTTCTAAGTTCCACCCATGTTTCTGTGGGAAAATCTAGCCTATTGTATCATATTGCTGCAAAGCATTCCAAGCTGAGCATCCATGGCATTATTTATTCACCCCTATCCCCCTGTGATGGATGCCCAGGTGGCTTCCAATTCCCTCTCACCACAAACAACACTGTGATGAACATCTGTGTACATGACCCTATAAGCCTGTGTGAAAACTTCTTTGGACCCTATACCCAAGATGGAATCCTAAATCACAGGGCACATATTTTTTACATGTCACTAAATTCTACTAGTAGCGTGTGAAAGATGCTTGTCTCCCCACATTTTCAATTTTGCCTATAGTTTGGGTATAAGGTCATCTCAGTGTTTGAATTTCTCTGATGATATGAGACTCAGAATCTTCTGTGCTTGCCAGACATTTGGGCTTCCCCTTCAGTGAATTGCCTGTTCCTGTCTGGTGCCCATTATGAATTGGGTTTCCTGTCTTTTTCTTGTCGATTTGCAGGAGTAGCCTGTAAATTTTAGATATTAATCTCTTGCTGGATATTGATGTTCCAAGTATCTTCACCTAATCCACTGCTCATCCGCTGGGTTTGTCTGTGGCAGTGGCTTTCAACTCTACCGTGCACCAGAATCTCCTGTTCGGCTTGCTAAAACACAGATCGCTGAGCCCCACCCCAGAGTCTCTGACTCAGTAGAGTAGGGGTGGGACCTGAGATTCTGCATTTCTAACAAGTACTCAGGTGATGCTGATGGTCCAGGGAGCACACTTTGCGAACCACTGGCCTATGGTGACTTCCTTTGAACAAATTTGTTCCACTGAACAAATCCATAATTTTGATGTTTTCAAATGTATTTACCTTCATTTTATGGATGAGGGAACTGGAACGTAAGGAGGTGAAGTGAATGACCCAAGGTCACACAGTAAGCTGGGATTCGGACCCATATCTGGCCAACCCCAGCGCGCATGCTCCTAGCCGCTCTGCTATCCTGTCCGGCAGCTTTTGGGGTGTAGTGACCACAGGCTGAGGCATTTGTCCTGAGACTATAGGGAACTTTAATAAGTTCCTGAGTGAGGCAGACGTAGAGGGAGAAGCACAGTGACAGGGCTGCCCAGAGTCACTGGAACATTCTTGCCTCATAGCTCCAGGGATGGAGCAATTTCCCTCACACCCCGAGGAAGTCCCCACCCACCCCGGAACTACCCTCTTACCAAAGCCATGTAATGCCTTGGTTTCTGAGGTCCAAAGGGCCCTGACTGGGGCAGTCTAGGCTCTGAGCCTGCGGACTCTGGCCACACTTCCTCCTGTAGCATTCAAAGACCCTGCCAGGATCACTTCCCAATATGGTTTCATTCTTGGCACTGCAAGAGGGGAAATACCCCTGGGCATGAGATAGCTGCTTCCCAAAGACCTCTAGGGGTGGGGTAAGGATGGAATTTCTGTACCAGCTCGGTCTCCTGGGCACAGTTTTGACCCATGGACAAGTGGTAAAGTTAGTGAAATCATCTCCAGCTGCCCCTTACAGTGTGGCTCCTTTTATTTAGGGCCCTGCAACTTAACTTCCCTCCCTCCCAGCTTCCAACAGAAGAGTCCTAGCGGCGCTCCTTGACTGTGTGCTGGGAAAAAGTCCTCTGGCCGCTGTCATTTGATCACCAGGTGTTTAGAGAGCATACACTCTGTAGCAGGCATTGTGCTAGACAAGAGGGAGATATAGAACAATCCCTGCCCACTGGGGGGGCTCTCAGCTTGATGGGAGTCCCCAAATCACTACAGCATAAAGTTCTCAACTGTCAAATCAAAGAGTGCGAAACTATCTCTTCCTAGGGAAGACAGGAAAGGCTTTGCAGAGGGGGTGACTTACGAGCAAGACTTTGAAGGAGGAGCAAGATTTTTGGCAAGTGGAATAAGGTAGACAGGAGAGCCCCACCCCCCCTCCCGGGCAGGGCCATCATGAGCAAAGGGCAGGGAGCACGAAGGAACATGGCACACTCCAAGGACTGGTAACCAGTTAGCTCTACTGCAGTGGTTAGGCACTGGTGGCCCCGGGGGTCAGACCAAGTGACTTTTGAATCCCAATTCTATCATGTGCTAGTTGGGGGACCTTGGATAAGCTCCTACATGTCTCTGGGTCTTTGGTTCCCTCACCTACAAAATGAGGCTAATAATAGCATCACCCTCAGAGATCTTGTAGATTGCTGAAGACTTCAGGATAATCCACGTAAACGTACATGCCGCAAGTGCTCAATAAATACGACCATTTTTATTGCTGGAGGAACATGGGGTGTTGGGGGTGGGGAGCAGGACTTAAAGGAGAGGAAAGCAGAGGAGTGGGCAGATTGAGAAGGCTTTTGAAATGCAGGCAATGGAGAGTGACCTAAAGGGCTTACATTTTACTGAAGTGAGTCTAGCTGCTTGGAGAGGAGGGTTGACTGGAGGTCCAAGGAGAGTCTGGGCCTGGGAGCTGGGCAGGACCTGAGGAGAAAGGCAGAGACCTGACTCAGATAGGGCGAGGAGAAAGAAAAGGAGAAGGCGTGTTCCAGGAGGGGCAGGGTTGAGAGGGCTCCCTCCCTGTTCAGAAACAGCTGCCTTTCACATCCTTTGATTGGATTCATTCATCCGTTATTTAGCACTTGAACCCTGGCCTCGTGGGGCTTACATTCTAGAAAGTTTATGTTCCTATTAAATAATGTTACTTGGAGCCCGCAGGTGCAGTATCCACCTGTTTAGGCTTAAACTATCAGAAATTGTCAGTCCTGTTGGTGTGCCTTCCATTTCTGACTTGTCTATGTCAGACATTTCAGATGAAAGGCAAAGGGTCTTAGAGCCAGGCCAGCCTGTCCTGCCCGCTTCCTGTGATGGTGAGTTCCCTGTCTCCTGTGACAGCCCTTTTCATCCAGTGCAAGAGCTAACAACTGCCTCCTTGCCCACTCACCTCCTATTCCCCACCCCCAGGTCCCAGCATCACCTTTTCGAGCCCTACATGACACAGCTGCTCCCTTG